ACGAGTACAGCTCATCACAAATAGTGTTGTCACCTCTGAGACGTCTTTCCAAATAACTTCTGAAAGTCATGATGTGTTCACATGTAATCCAGTCGTCACACTGCACCGGGTGTTTGGAGCGCAGACTGTTCTTGTGTTCATCGACATACGGGGTCACCAAGCTAGAGTTCTGTAGAACTATGTAGTGTGCTTGTGACCAAGAATGCTCGTCCCTGCATATTATTGTGTCCGCACCTAGCGTGCCTTTTCCAGTCAGTCTCCCATCATACCGTATTTAGGGAGACCTGTCTTCTTCAGGCCAGGAATGAAGTCAACACAAAACTCAATGACATCCTCTGTTTGATGGCCCATGGAGATGCTTCCTTCTGGCCTAGCACGGTTACAGACATATTTCTTTAGGACTCCCATGAACCTCTCAAAGGGGAACATATTGTGTAGAAATACGGGGCCCAGAATGACAATCTCGTCGACTAGATAAACTAGGACGTGTGTCATGATATTGAAGAAGGATGGTGGGAACACCAGCTCGAAACTGACAAGACATTGCGCCACATCACTCCTTAGCCTTGGTATGATTTCTGGATCGATCACCTTCTGAGAGATTGCATTGAGAAATGCACATAGCTTCACAATGGCTAATCGGACATTTTCCGGTAGAAGCCCCCTCAATGCAACCGGAAGCAGTTGCGTCATAATCATGTGGTAGTCATGAGACTTTAGGTTCTGGAACTTTTTCTCTGGAATGTTTATTATTCCCTTTATATTCGACGAGAAGCCAGTCGGGACGTTCATACTGAGCAGGCATTCAAAAAAGATTTCCTTCTCTTCTTTGGTAAGAGCGTAGCTGTCAGGACCTTCATACTGCTTTGGAGGCATGCCGTCTTTTTCGTGCAAACGTTGCAGGTCCTCCCGTGCCTTAGGTGTATCTTTTCTCTTCCCATAAATGCCCAAGAATCCTAACAGATTCACGCAAAGGTTCTTCGTCACATGCATCACGTCGATTGAAGAGCGTACCTCTAGCTCTTTCCAGTAGGGTAGGTCCCAAAATATAGATTTCTTCTTCCCCATGGGTGCGTGGCCCTTAGCATCATTTGGGACAGTTAGTCTGCCGGGACCCTTTCCAAATATTACGTGTAAATCAGAGACCATATCAACTACGTGATCACCGGTACGCATGGAGGGCTTCTTCCGGTGATCTGCCTCGTCTTTGAAATGCTTCCCTTTCTTTCGACATTGATGGTTGGTCGGGAGAAATCGATAATGACCCAGATACACATTCTTCCTGCATCTGTCCAGGTATATACTTTCGGTGTCAGCTAAACAGTGTGTGCATGCGTGGTATCCCTTGTTTGTATGTCCTGAAAGGTTACTGAGAGCGGGCCAATCGTTGATGGTTACAAACAGCAACACATGCAGGTTAAATTCCACCTGTTTGTGCTCATCCCACGCACGTTTCCATTCTACAGCTATAAAAGCTCTTCAACTAATGGCCTTAGGTACACATCAATGTCGTTGCCGGGTTGCTTAGGGCCTTGGATGAGAATTGGCATCATAATGAACTTCCGCTTCATGCACATCCAAGGAGGAAGGTTATACATACATAGAGTCACGGGCCAGGTGCTATGATTGCTGCTCTGCTCCCCGAAAGGATTAATGCCATCCGCGCTTAAACCAAACCATACGTTCCTTGGGTCACCTACAAACTGAGCCCAATACTTTCTCTCGATTTTTCTCCACTGCGATCCGTCAGCGGGTGCTCTCAACTTCCCGTCTTTCTTACGGTCCTCACTGTGCCATGCGTAAACTTGGCATGCTCTTTGTTTCTGAGCAGTCGTTTCAATCGTGGTATTATAGGAGCATACCACATCACCTTCGCAGGAACCCTCTTCCTGTGAGGCTCGCCCTCAATATCACCAGGGTCATCTCGTCCATCTGATCTTATACCGCAATGCACTGCATACCAGGCATGCGTTCAAATCCTTGTACGCACCGCGGTAGAGGATGCAGTCATTAGGGCATGCATGTATCTTCTCCACCTCCAATCCTAGAGGGCATACGACCTTCTTTGCTGCATACGTACTGTCGGGCAATTCGTTATCCTTTGGAAGCTTCTTCTTCAATATTTTCAGTAGCTTCTCAAATCCTTTGTCAGACACATGATTCTCTGGCTTCCACTGCAGCAGTTCCAGTACGGTACCGAGCTTTGTGTTGCCATCTTCGCAATTGGGGTACAACCCTTTTTTGCGATCCTCTAACATGCGATCGAACTTCAGCTTCTCCTTTTCACTTTCACACTTCCCTTGCATCAACAATGACCCGACGGAGATCATCATCGGGCACATCGTCTGGTTCCTCTTGATCTTCAGCTTCCCCCATTGCAGCATCACTGTATTCAGGGGGCACATAGTTGTCATCGTCCTCTTCTTCCTCGCTGTCTTCCATCATAACCCCTATTTCTCCGTGCATCGTCCAAACATTATAGTGTGGCATGAAAGCTTTACAAAGCAGGTGGGTGTGAAGGATTTTCTTATCAGAGTAAGACCTCGTATTCCCATAATCAGGGCATGGACAACACATAAAACCATTTTGCTTGTTTGCCTCAGCCACTTCGAGAAATTTATGCACGCCCTTAATGTACTCAAAGGTGGGTCTGTCACCGTACATCCATTGCCGGTTCATCTGCGTGCATTATATATAATTATGAGTGTCAAAAGTAAGAAAATTAGACAAGTATCTATCTAAAGTAAGATTTTTTTTCTTTCAGAAAGAAGATAAGAACAAGAGGCTCACCACGGTGGTGCCGGCGACGAGATCGGCGCGGGCGATCGATGGTGGTGAAGACGAGGACGGGGCGTGATGGACCGCTAAACCTAGACAAATCTCAGAAAAAATGGAGCTCCGAGGTCGAGCTTCGAGAGGAGAAAGCTTAACTAATGTGGCTCGGGCATTTCATCAAACACCTCACATGCATAAGAGGTGAGCTAGAGCACCCAAATGCCCTTCCTCGCCGGCCAGCAAAAAACAGAGCACTGTGAAGTGCTCTGCTCGCCGGCGTTGGGGTATATATAGGAAGCTCATTTGTCCCGGTTCGTGGATGGAACCGGGACTAAAGCCCAGCCTTCTATCCCGGTTCGAGCCAAGAACCGAGACCTGTGTTTGTGGGCCAGGAGCGAGGCCCATTAGACCCGGTTCGTGCCTGGAACTGGGACAAATGGGTCCATACGAACCGGGACCAATGCCCGCGAGGCCCCGGACGCCCCCCTGGGCTCACGAACCGGGACGAATGCATCCATTGGTCCTGGTTCGTGGCAGAACCGGGACTAATGGGCTGGCCAGACCTGAACGAAAGCCCCTTTTTCTACTAGTGATCTAGTAGTTCGTGAGTGATTCTGTTATTAGAACTAGGAGACTTGCTTTGATATCGTAGTTAGAGTTGTTGATTGTTTACTAACATATTTGTGGGGATGGTTTGTAGTGTGCTTATCTACAGTTGTAATTACTCGACTTATGCTCCTTCATTTGTTGTTCTATAGTAACGAGTGAATCATGTAGAGTAGTAATAAAAACATAGTGATGAGACAGACTATTGAAATCTATATTCCTAATTAGTCATGGTCTCTTTAATATGATAGACACGCCGAATGAGCAACCAAGCTCTACATCGAGAAAGCAAAGAAAAGATGAAATTTGTTTTTTGTTTCTCTGTTTGAACTACTTTTGTTGTGCGTGCTGGGTGGAACACATGTTGTTGTTCCTTCATAAGTTGATTCTGCACTATTTTTAACACATATAGTATGTAGTCTATAGTTATTGTTATGTCTTCTCATGTTCTTCTTATGTTTGCCGACAATTTGATAACTCTGTTGCTTCAACATGTTTGATGTGGTTGGATGCTATCAAAAATTCACTTTGAATCCCCCACATGGACAGGGAACCATAATCTCACCTCAACTTTTCGTTCAAAAGCAACAACCACCTTTATATATGCTTGGTTTACTCAAGGTTAAACCCAAAACATCGACCAAGTAAATGACCAACAGGCTCAGACACGGGCATGGCATGGCGCCGCGCCTCCGCCTGCTAGTCATCAATACGGTTGCTAAGAAATGCACAACGTGCAAGAAAGAGAGTGTCTTGGCTGTTTAGTTGGGGTCTTCTCCACCAAACACATTTGAACTCTGTTTTCTAATGTAATCCAGCTGAGGTTGAGTAATACAAGTATGTGTGGTTAATTCAGCATAAAAATTGAAACCAAAAGATGGAGGCAGGACTTAAATAGTTGGATGGAGGGAATACATGAGATATGTTCATTATAGCTACACTAGATAGTATTGTATCGCATCATATCAATTCCCAAAGATAAAGCATTTGTCACCGAAGAAGGTAATCCTATATAATGGTCCTGGAAACCCTCCGTAAAGACTTGAGGCTTTCATGAAACTATCCTGGCAAGCTCTAGGTATGTAGAAACAATCTAGATATTGTGTTCTACGAATCATCAAAATAGATGTACAAGCAGGAACTAAGGCTATTACCCATCTGAGGTTCTGAACCTCAGTAAATCACCGTGCCAGCATTCCCCCCAATGAGAACTGTCTGGGAGGCACCATACCTTCTTTCTACTATCTTCACGACCCCTTGTTCAATCGTACAATTGACCGTCAATCAATTATTGATAGATATCAACCAATATGCATCAAGTCATCATATTTATGCGTCACCATAAGAAAATAAAAACCACATCTTGCATCATCCAAAGTATTTTTTTCAATTCCCAACATGAAAAATGTGCCACAGTATATCATGTTCGATGGAAAAGGTAATAAAGTTTCCATATATACCCAATTATAGCTTCACGAAAACTGTAAATAGAATGAAAATAATAATTAGAATCTATAATCCAACTAGGAAGGCTCGACTAATGTTATCTATTACATGAGAAGTATGGTATCATAGCGGCCACATTGTTATGATAGCAACCGTATGATACGAGGAAAACACTATCTAGGTATTATGACAGATAAAGTCATATCATTAATACTATGTGTCTCGATAGCTGCAGATGGCTCTTCATTTCCAACCCTTAAGTTGAAATATGCGGGCTGCTTAGGCTGAGACATGATCATTGTCTCATTGCTTAACATTGCAACAACATCGGTCATGCTTGGTCGGTCAGCTGCATTCTCTTGTACACACAACAATGCTATGTTAATGTAGCGCATCACCTTTGTTGAATGACTACTAGGAACCAACGATGCATCAATGAGATCAATCCACCTTCTCTCTTCCCATAATTGCCATGCCTGTTTGCAATTTTTAACCAATAGTACACTGAGATATATATTCTATTTCCATAGAAAATATAGAGTCCATAAAAACAATTAGAAAAGCTTAAGTTCTCTTGTGTAAGCTTACATATCCAAGGAGATTGATGAAATCTCCCCAATGTTGGCTTCTACAATTCCTTTCTCGAGTAAGAATATCAAAAATAATAACTCCAAAGCTGAAGACGTCGGATTTGATAGAGAAGACACCCTCCGAAGCATACTCGGGGGCCATGTAGCCACTGAAATTTACATGATACAGAAAAATTATTATATTGTCAATCTTTAATAAAGATGCTCGTAATTGAATTTATATCTGTGAAACTTACTATGTACCAACTACTCTTCTTGTAGTGTTTCCTCCGGTGTTATTTGAGATAAATATTTTTGCTAGCCCAAAATCTGAGATTTTTGGTTTCATTTCTCTATCCAAGAGAATGTTGCTTGGTTTAAGATCACGATGTATTACTCGCAACCGTGAATGTTTATGTAGATAAAGAAGTCCATCAGCTATTCCATCAATTATTGCTACAATTTTTGAAAAATCAAGTAAACGTCTTCTGTTTTCATCTGCACATCAATAAGATATTAGTATATCAGGAGAAAAACAACAGGAAAATGATGAAATTTTATATAGACAACTACCATGGGAACAGAAATATACTCGCGGCTTAATGAGAACATAATATCTAGTTATTTTTAGTCATTTGGCCAGTTCAAAAAACTGTAGAATCAGTATTATTACATTTGTAAATCCTTACCAAAAATAAAGAAATCCAAGCTTTTGTTTTGCAAGTATTCATAGACCAATATTTTCTCTCCTTCTTGCGAACAACATCCTAAGAGCCCTAACCAAATTCATATGCTGGAGTTTGGCGATGAGCTGAACTTCATTTTTGAACTCGATGAAACCTTGTCCTGAGTGTGAAGCAAGTCTCTTGACTGCCATATCCAACCCCCCAGGAAACTTTGCCTGGAAAATATATACCAAAGTTAGGCTCTTCCCACTGTACTCTTTTCTCCGAGTTGAAAATTATTAGCTCGGTTGGTAACAAGGACTACAACTTTTAATATCGTATGGTAAGTCTAAGACCAAGAAGAGCTTTTGTTAGGCTGTTAAATAACTCCCAATAAAAGATGAAAAGTCGTATAGTCAAACTAATTTACCATGTACACTGCGCCAAAACCACCTTGTCCAAGTTTGTTTTCTTCTGAAAAATTGTTTGTGGCCTCTAGTAGCTGTTTCAAGTCAAACACCAAAAACTCGGAATTCTTCTCTTGCCAAACTAGTTGTTCCTCCCCGTCCAAATCCCGAGAAGGTATTGCTCTTTGGAACCTACTTACTTTACCTGAAAGTTTCATTGAAAAATGGCGGAATGTACGTCTATTTCATGCATTTTAATAATAGCTCATCAACAATATCATTAACTAGAACAAATTTACACTGTACTCTTTTCATTTCAAAATAAGTGTCGTGGTTTTAAAACCAAGAAACTTATTACGGAACGAAGAGAGTAGAATAGAACATTTTTCTATAAAGAATTTGGTAGTAATACCATACTTTTTCTTTGCTTTATGATCCGATGAGAATAAATGGTGCAGCACATGAATGCTGCTGCCGCTACAGGAACAGCGACAGCTACGGGAATTGTCCACGCCTTAAGCATACGCCCTGATTGGAACATGCAAATTAATATCTTGTA